ATCTGTGTGTTTATGTTCACTTATATATATATATATATATATATATATATATATATATATATATATATATATATATATATATATACCCGATCAGTATCGGCTGGGTCACCGTGGAGATGGGGTATGATGTTCAATGAACCGATACCCCTAATGAACCTCGGCTAGAAACATCACTGCTGATGTGTACTAAAGCATCCAATAGATATATTTTTTACGAAATATATATATATATATATATATATATATATATATATATATATCAGTGAAACTCAAATAGAAAAAATGATTTCAGTCTCTTAGCAGTACTGCTTTAGACCATTCATCTACAGACTGGCCAGAAGATATAAACATTTTACGTAACCCCCTCTCTAAAATAAATTGGACACCATGCGCTAACTGGTTAAATAATTTCAGTCTCTTAGCTTTGAGTAGTACTGGACTATGCGGTAGAATATTTTTTCGTTATTCAATATTTGCTCTATCGCAACATTTTCACAGGAATAAATAGGAGGCATTACATTCAGAGCGTCCCTAGTATTTACAATTCCTCTTACTTCGGGGTACGTAATCCCCAAAAAGGTTAAATAGTCAGAGTAATCCAATTTTTAACAGTAGAAATTAAAAAATACTATACCTTATGCAGGTCAGTAATATGACATGGCAAATGTATTAGACTTTTTGAGTAGTTGAAATTGACAGTCAGTCAAAATTTTAATATTGATTTTGTAGAAATATATGTCTATAAAATTGACCTTTTTATACTCCTTTTTTGTTTCTTGGAAACGTAGCACACTTTGAGAAGCACTGCTTTAAAAAGAGGTTTACACTGTTTTAAAACGAGGGCGTAGTTACACTACTTAAGTATATATATATATATATATATATATATATATATATATATATATATATATATATATATATGTGTGTGTGTGTGTGTGTGTGTGTGTGTGTACCATTAATATAAATAAAAGGTTTGTCACTTAGATGAGCTGATTGATGTTACCTTCACCATCACGAATCCAGAGTTTCGTAGACGAACACACCGTCCACCCTTCGGGGATATCAGCAATTGAATTATATATATATATATATATATATATATATATATATATATATATATATATATATATACATACATACACAAGTGTAGGGTTGGTGTAGAGGGAATAAAATTCTGATTACCAAAATCACTATTCTTAAAAGTCCTCAATACAAAATAGAGGAAATAATATTTATTCAAAATTATAAGATAAGCATGTTATAACATTATTACAAAAATAGCCATAAGTAGAGCAATGTCTAATACAGTTTATAATTTAAAAAAAACAAGGATCATGACATTCATCGGGTTATTAGTAGACTAATGCATCTTTAAAATTTAGTTAACGAAGTGATTTCGCCATTTTATATCATTAACTTTACTAATTTACTTTTTTGTATGAATGATTCATTGTAATATAAATTGAACTTCACCACATATTTGATTTAAAAGAACTGATCTGACGTGCAAATTTTCGGAATAACAATTGAGACATTACTCTACTTATTGAACTATGTAGTTCATGCCACAGTGACTGATAAACTCCTACAACAAAAACATTCTTATTTCATTTAGATTTTCAAAAAAAAAAAAAATTCAAGCTTATCGTTGCGACTGTACGCTCCATAAATTTGTATCCGTTATCAATAACGCATTTCAAAAAAACATACTTTTTCGTCTCGGAAGCTACTTGAATTTTCACAAAAAGTATATATATATATATATATATATATATATATATATATATGTGATGGACTCTCCTGTCGATTTCGGCGTATCAGTATCAGAAAAGTTCATTCAATTTTTATGTCTGTATCTTATGCGACACTTCAGTCTCGCTGTATGGACATTTGTTTTACAGCGAGATTCACCCTATACAAGGCCTGAGGACCACTCGAAGTAGAGGGTTATAGAGTAAGAGGCACAAGTCCACATAATGCGAAGCAGTGTGGATCTTAGGACATAGCAACATGAATATTTGCTGATGCTTTTCGCCATCTTTTTTTCTCTCAGTTGGTCAATACCACTGATTTGGAAATTTCTGATGCCACTCCAGGGTAACACGCACAGTTAAGAGGTTACTCTTTAGCTTGTCTTTATACTTGAGCCACGGTCGTCCAACAATCCCTTGTCCATTGTCAAGCTGGCTATATTTAGGTATGAATGCCTTAATGGCTAGATCATCTAATGTAAATTTGTGTCCAGATTCTTACATTTCACCTTTCTTGGCAAATATTCTTTTATCCCTATGTGGGATACTTAAAAACAAAAGTAATAAAAACGTAAGTAAAAAGAAAGTCAATGGATTTAGCTCGGCGATATACCAAATATATTGAAAAAAATTAAATTTAAATATTGAACAATTTGGCGTCCCATCTGATGTGTACACACGTCAATATAAACATCACTTGAGTTTAAATAATGTCCTAAATGAGAAAACGCATGAAAAGTTTTTCAAAAACAAAATTAAAAAAAAAGATATTACATTTATTTTCGTCTCCGATGTTACCTGAATTTTACCTAAAAAAAAAAAACATTATCCATGCACGATGACGATAGGATGACCTATCGAAAGTACTAGCATATTTATAGAACATACGGAACATCTAAAAACAAGGATTGCATCATTCAACGACTGGTTAGTGAATTAATACTTTTTAAATTTGTTAGCGAAGTGAATTCGCCATTTATTACATTAACCTTATTAATTTATTCTTTGTATGACTGCTTCATTGTAATATTTATTATACTTTACCAATCACACACACACACACACACACACACACATACACACACACACACACACACACACACACACACACACATATATATATATATATATATATATATATATATATATATATATATATATATATGAAATAATTGGCCATTTTACGTTTTGTAATGGTTAGCCAATATGTCTCTCTAAACTAATGACAACTGAGGAGTCAGTACGATCATCACCGGTGCTCTATACTTGCGGCCTTGTGTCACATCTAAGCAATGCTTAGTAAATCGCTATATTTAGAATATATATATACACATACACACACATGCTTAGTTAATCGCTATATATAGAATAATATATGTGTACTGTACGTGTTTAAAATACATAATTGAATTCATACAGGAGAATTATGGATAAAATGTAACCTATAATATTAACCTATAATATTTCACGTACACTTACCGTTTTACGTGGCACTTTCTTTCTTGCTCAGAATTATCAGGTCGTAAATAAATTTCTTTTTTTTCAACTTCCAAGTTCTCTTGACTGTAAATCGATAAAAGGATTTTTCGTCCCGACTGAAAAGATGTTAAACCGCAAATTCCTAAAAAGTGGAAGCCCTCGATTAGAAATTCATCGCCGTCGAGTGCAAGTGTCAGATGATTCTTTGTGAACAAGCAAGTCTTTGATTTCGTACGAAATCACCTGCCGTCACGTGATATCGGGAGTAGGTGTGACGATTTACACTGGAAACGAAAGCCTAATTAGATTTAATGCTGAGAAAAATACAAAAGCACTCACATTTACATGCAAACATATTTACGGATGTGTGCATATATATATATTTAGAAACCGACACACACACACACATACATACATACTTATATATATATATATATATATATAAAAGTGAACACTTAGAGGCGACAGACTGTTCCATGCTAGACGCAATCGTGAGGCGACGTATATATATATATATATATATATATATATATATATATATATATACGCATTGGAGAAACATGCAGGATTTAAAAAAACGCATCTATAAGCACAAAAGAGACCTCATAACAATTTAACAAATGCTCTAGTCATATAGAAATAAATTCAACCACAATTTTGATTTTATAAATGCAACACTCATAAAAGAAAAAAAATAATTCCCTCAGAAGAAAACTTCTCGAGAGTGCCGCCATTGAATATCATCCAAATATTAATCTACACCCAGGTTTTTTTCCCAATATCACCTTTCCTGACAGGATCACTACTCTCCCAAGCCAATGTACACAATAAATATATCAAGAAATCAAAAGAAAACGGTTGAATCTGTCAACACAATACAAACAATATTTCTACATATGAAAATATACTTTTCAAGCATAAAGTAATTGATGTAATTTTTCAGTTGACCATATGATTATACAATAGCGTTTTTTAAATTTTCTTCGTTGCTAACGACACTTTGTTGTTTATATATGATTTGTTTCAATAAATTCATTTCGTTCTTGCTTTGAAAAAGTTCACATTGTACGAAACGGGTCGGCTAAACTATACAGTTTTCTTATTGTCTTTTTTTCCTTTATACATACATACATATTTTAAGACATTGGAAGATTGAAGCTTAAAGGCAGTAAATTCGACCTTGTTAACCGAACGCTCCGCTGTGACCAAATCGGTTAAAGGCACGTCAGGCTATATGACGGTTCCCTATAGGATACAGGTTCGATTCCTGTCGGAGGACGAATATTTTCGATGACAATTTCTTGGACATTCAGGTCGGTAAATGTTGTTTATTATAAACAGAGCATTTACTTAAATATTTGTATCTATAAAAAGAATGTATAAACATAAAAATGTCTTAAAATAATTGTCTGACTTTGTCAATTTCATAATGTGTGATACATACATATGTGTGTGTGTAGATGTGTAAATAAATGACATGCTGGAAAAGTTATTAGTGACACGTTTCGTTCTGAGAAGGAACATCATCAGACAGGGTTTTTATTAATTGAATCACTCTTATATATAAACCGCTGAAGGGCGGTATTTAGTGGAGAAATAAAAAAAGGTATCAAAATAAAAAACAACGCCGGTAGTAGTTTGCATCAAAACGTTAGAGATATGGGGACGCTCAGTTTAAATTTCAAATTTTAACATCTTAATGTATCTTAATGTTCATCTTAGGTTACTGCATTTAACCTTTTACTGTTTTTATTTTTATTGTTGTACGGCTGACGGCCGTATCATGTTGAAACACCGGTTCTCATACGATCACCGAAGTTAAGCAGTATCGAGCCTGCTCGATATCTAGATGAGTCACCGCTTAGGAATGTCAGGTGTTGTAAGCTTGGATGTGCGGATGGTGTAATGAATAACCACTCGGAATTGGAAATCGGAGGGCCGAGTTCTAATTTCGGTGTAGTTAGTTACATTCACTTACGCGAAAATATTCTTGGGAAAAGTAGGAATTCACATTTTACCCCTCCATCTATGGATTAATTAGTATGACTTGTATCAGTAAATCATTATTATCTTCAAATTAAAATAAAAAATGCATTATTATCCCCCCCGTACCCCAAAATTTATACGAATCTATACGTACATATACGCAGGCAAATCAATAAATCTGACGACTAATGAATGAAAAAGCATTCTTATTGAACACAAATATTTATTCTTTAATATTATAAAGCTTTTTTGTCAACACACCTAATTCAGCAATGATATTAATTGAACAATTTAGATAAATGATGTATCAAGTCTCAGATTTATTGATGTAACCTCGTCTATGAACACGCACGCACGCACACACATAAACACAACACACACACATATATATATATATATTTATTTAGGAGTAATGGATAGCGTCTCGGATTGAGGAATCGGAGAGCCGAGTTCGAATTCCAGTCGAATCCATTACATTCACTTACGTGCTAATATCCTTGGGAAAGGTATGAATCCTCTTCTTGTCCATCAAGCTATCGATAAATAGCAGGATGGCAACTGGTCTAGGACAAGGACCAGTCTGAATTTCAAACCTGCAAGGGTCGCTTGGGGACCTTGTGGCACACGGTGCACCAGGTCTCTGTATTCGGCCCTTCAAAAAGTGTGGATGGTTCTATGCAAAAACCTTCACCACTATAATTAAATCACATGTGCTGGTGTCTGGCTGTCGGTTCTTAGGACCTGAACTACTTGACCCTCATACGTCGAATACGACACGAGAGTCGAATATATATATATATATATATATATATATATATATATATATAGATAGATAGATAGATAGATAGATAGATAAATATTGATAATATTAGTGGTAAATATACACATACATATGCAATCATATATATAAATATATATATATATACATACATACACATACATATATAATTGTATAAAAAATAAATCCAAGAGGATAGAATCCAGGTAGAATTCAATGTCCAGGACAGAGTAAGGATATAATAAAAAGGCTTAAACACTAATATTCTATGGTCATAATTTATTCCATTGGAATCGTAAATACGATCCAATTCATCAGACCTACAAATTCAAAAACGAAAAAAAAAAGAAATATATATATATATATATATATATATATATATATATATATATATAACCTATCCTTTTTGGTACGATTTAGCTCCCCAAAACCGGAGACTATGTCAAACTTTCAGCTTCTAAATATTACCAGGATATAGACAAAGGAATGCTGCCTTCCACACAGTTACTACATGGTTACTATATATGTTTCTTGAAAATTACTGAGAATGCTCAAAATCACTTGAACTTCGAACAGTTTATCCACAATTTTGATCCCGATACACAACACTATATATATATATATATATATATATATATATATATATATATATATATATATATAGACTCTCCATCCGATTTCGACGTGTGAGAAACAAATTGTTCAGTTCTAGTAGACCTGACTATCCCCATAGATGACCTAATTATAGTTATGAAGGCCGACCGGCCACATGTTTCGGAAGAATTTAAAATAGAACAGTATACAATGTACCACGAAATCTCCAACTGACCTTCATATATATATATATATATATATATATATATATATATATATATATATATATATATATTGAGACACTGGCGCTTTCAAAGATCCAGCCAAATTTGAAATAAAAGTCCTTGACACAGCCCGATTGGTTCTCTCCTAAAAAAAAATTACAAAAAGAAAGAAAGAAAGAAAGAAAGAAAACGAAAGAAAGAGGAACCTGTTTTACAAGTTTGTTTGCTTTCAAGTATTTCCAGTGACAACATGAAAAACCAACAAAGAACGAGAGGAAAAATATCGGTCAATCAGGTATCAGGATATTTTTTTCTTTTTTATTTGAAACTTTTTGAAAGGCAGCCCACCAAAAGCAATAAAACTATTCTGAAATATTTTCTAAGTTTAGTTAACAAGGCCAAACAACATGCAGTGTCAATTCTCACTTAAATTCAGAATTCAAAATCCTGGAATTTGACTTGAGCTGAAAAAATCATTGCACAGAGTCAGTGGAAGATAAACAACACACCAAACATTTATTAACTTTAGCATTGTGGCACAAGGCTACAGTAGAAGTGTACTCAGTCATGATCAAACTAGTGAATTAGTCCTAAAGGAAAACTTGCTAACCATTGAGCTAATGTACTAAGATTTATAATATCAGTGAAGAAATTTGTGGGGATTCAGAGTAATCATATAGAGTAATCATTGAGCCCAGAATAATCTTCAACAGAATGCAGAAAGCACTGGACGGCTGTTTCGTTCTATTTGGGACTCATCAGCAGTGCGCATCCACTACCGGACCGTTTCGATATAACGCAAACGTCATACCAACTGTACCACGGGTTTCGGTGGCGGAGAAGACACAAACGAGACTCGATATAGCGCCGTTAGTCATTCAGTTCCGCAGCGATACTCATCCAAGTATACGGATTACCTCGGAACAGGGACTCATTTATTTTCCGGTGTATATTGACCGACCACTACATTAATTTAATTCCTTCGTGATGACTGCGTGCTTATAATGAAATAATGAAAACTGAAAATACACAAATTAGACGAATAAATTGATAAATATATATTATATTATATACTACATGAAGTTATGATCATATAGATATTTATTTAATTTTAGCACAACGACACTATGGGTCACCAATTGGCGATTAAACTTACAATATTGTAGTTAATTTCTACTAGACTAACTCACTATATATTGTTCTATAGCAAAGTAATCAGTTATTTGGTAAGCATGGATAATTTGGCTTAAGGTCGTCGTATAGAGACAGATGTGAAGACGGAACTAACTATACCATGGAATCGTTCTATGAGATTAATTTGTTAACCATTATACCAAGTTATATATTTTTGAATTTCAATATGTCCGGGTTTCAAATCTCGGTAGTGGATTCGTACTGCTGATGAGTCCCAAATAGGACGAAACGGCCTTGAACTTTCTGCATTCTGGGCTCGATGAATTACTAAATATGATTATAGGGCGTTGGCGATCATGAATCTTCACAATTTCCTGCCCTTTGTAGCTCTTAATAAATTTTGTCTTTTTGTTATCTCACCTAAACCTTGTTCCACCATCCATTTATTCAAGATCGCTAGATAGTTTTTGCGTTGTTTTCCTCCGTCAATCTTGACTTCAAATTGTCCTGTGAGTATCAAATTTTCCAGACCCTCTTTCCTCGTTATGTGCCCCAGAAATTTCAACTGATTCCTGATTCTAAGTTTAAGTGTTCGTTTTGTTTTCATTTTCCCTGGAACTTCGTCGTCGCTCAGATATTTATTATGATATTCTCAGCCTGCCTGTATAAAACCACATTTCTGTTGCTTTAAGTCTCTTCTTCATCTGTAACGAGATTGTCCAGTATTCACCGTATATAAGAACAAATATTACGTAACAGTTCCGTACTCTTTTCTTTATTTCTAATGATATTTTTCTATTTCTTAATACTTTGCTTGGCTTTGGGAAGGCGTCTTTCGCTATCCCAATGAGCTTTCGGATTTCACTCTTACACTTTCCGTCCCCTGCTAAGACTCTTCCCAGATACTTAAATTGTACCACTTGTTTTATTTCAGTATCTCCAACTTGTAATTTACATGTTAGGTTGTTCTTTTTTGCTAACAACCATGCATTCTGTCTTCTTGCAATTGATGATTAGTCCTTTCTCGCTTTCCTTCTCAACTTTCTGTAGGAATTCTTGTAGTTTTCTTTCTGTGTCTGGTATCAGCACTGTCATCTTCATATCGCACATTGGTAAGAGTGTGGCCGCCAATGATGAATATTGGTAGGGCATCTAATTCTCTCAGGATCGCTTGAATAAATATTGGTATTCAATGTTTCATGGTTACCTAGCAATCCCAACAGTTTTTTTGTAACATACATTATCAAAACGTATTTTACCAGCTACTATGGGACAGTGATGATATTATATAATTACTGCCCTTGCTTCTAGATCTTTATAGACCCTTCTAGAATTTTATGTTTATTTTTATGTTTGTATGTTATGCTATAGCTATAAACTGTTAAATGCCTTAAACTACATAAATACTATTCAATTACATCATGAGTAAATTGAAAAATAAAGCTTCTGAAATATTTTGATATTTACCCTTATTCCGACTCCGGTAAAATCGAATTTTCGGTTTGGGGTAACCTTTTTCAAGAACTAAATCAAATTAGTGCCTTTCTCATTACTTTTGGACAAAAGTTAATCCATTTTCAGGAATAGAGGGTTACAAAAAAGTCAAAACCCTAATGCACATGGTGCAGCTGTTATGGGACAGAAGTACTGCTATATAATTACAGCCCGTGCCCCTTATACGTGTTTCCTTAAAGTACGATATAGACATGGTGCAGCTCTTATGGGACAGAGGTAACGTTATATAATTATGCCATAATAACTGTTACATATATCTTATTCCATCTATCCACAAGATAAAAGGAAAATAGACCATCTCTCGTTCGTATTTTCTCAAACTTCTTTTGAGGCTATTCAAAAATCAGTTTTAATAAATTTCGGAGAATATTCCTATCATTGATTTTGGGCTGAAATCTATTGTTTTAAATCTAAATATTTCAGGGTTTTTTTTTGTTTTTTTTATCTACAATCTATTGTTCTATTGTTCCGTGTTTAGGAAACATAATATATTTTGAAATGGTCCAAACGTCATCATGAGAAATAACATGTCATTTATGTTTGCTTTGATTTTTATCATTTGTGAAGGATAAACAGAAGTTATGACAGACAATATCCCAATGATTTCACAAGAGAATGCGCCCCATCCTTGAATAAGCGGCCCTCCTAAAGGT